CTAACTGACACTATACAGAATCACAGAATTGATAAATCATCGTTGTTGCTGTAAAGCCAGTATGATAAATAACAAAATGAAAGTACTACACTCTGTAGTCTACAAATGAAATACCACAGCATAAATGCACCAGAAAAAAAAAATTCAAGTGTTTTTTTCAAAACAGTGCAAAACAGGTGTCGGTGTAATTTTATTTCAGAAGACTGCGCCTTGATGTCTAACCGTTTTTATAAATAGCATGGTTTTGGCCTTTCCGATGTAAAGCATAGCTGCTGATCTTTTATTTTATGATGGACAATAACTGTGAGGAATTACAAGTGTCACTTACATGTAAATATAAAAGCTATAATATAGGACCTAAGGTAGAACCTTGTGGTACACCACACTTAAACATTTTTAGGGACAATATATTATTTTTCCATTGAATGAATTGTTTTATGCCAGACAGATAATTCCTGGACCAATCCAAAACCATTCCTCTAATGCCGTACCTGTTAAGTTTTGAAAGTAAAATGTTATGGTCAATGGTATCGAATGCCTTGGAAAGGTCCAGAAACAATCCAATAGTGTGATGAGATTTATCTAGAGATAAACTGATTTTATCAACAAGGTCAATCAAAGTCATTTGGGTTGAGTAATTTTACTGAAATCCATATTGCAATTTAGTCAAAATATCATTCTTAGTTTAAAAAGAATAAAGACGATTTGTAACTAATAACCGCTCAAGTACTTTAGAAAGACACGGTAATATAGAAAAAGGATGATAATTCTCAGTTATTTGTGGGTCACCTTATTTGGCGAGCTGCGAAGCAAATGCGAGCATAATGTAATACCAATTTCTGTCCGTCTGTCCGTTATTGTAAGTTTTTTGCTTGCAGGATTATTGGTGTTAAATATATGGAATTAGTGCTTTGAAGTGCTGTTTTTGATTTTATCGAAAAAAAAAATTGTGAAAGTTAAACGTTAAAGTTTTTGGCTGTATTGTGTACATCCATAATACAGTGTATCTGTACATATATGTATACTGAGCACTCCATATACGTGTACATACTTACATGGGGATATAGACACATGCACAATGTAGGTACACTGTAGATTGGAAAAATGTACAGGGTGGGGGGTTGCAGGACAAGGTATGTAGGAAATGGATGGGATGTTGGGAGAGTTGGAGTAATGATTGGGTTGGATAAATGGGATAATGGGGCGGAGTAGGAGATGGGATAATGGGGTGGGGGGCGGAGTTAAGGATGGATTTGGGGGAGTAGGATTGGATGATAGAATGGAATGGAGTAGGAGATGGATGGAATGATACATGGGGAGGGGGTGGAGCTGATGGATGGGATAATGGGGAGGGGCAGAGTAGGAGATGGATAGGATGATAGGGAGGGGGCGGAGTAGGAGATGCTTCTGTTGGATGATGGAGGGGCAATGAAGGAGATGGGATGATGGGGTTTGAGGTGGAGTAGGAATTGTGTACACTAATAAGGAACTTCAGGCATGCACCGTCTACTGAACTGATGAGAACACTTTTCTTCTAAGAGTATGTTTAGGATGTTAGTCTGGATTAAAATGTGTTTGTTTTTGCTTTTTGTTTCTTTAATTTTTTTTTATACTTTTTATTTTATCAGATGAGCTTGACAGCAGTGACGATGATGTAGGTACTGATGACACCTACAATCCTTCAGGAGCTGAGAACACAGGTAAAGTGCCTCATTGACTACTCAGATATTTTGTAAGGAAAGCACTCTTGTGCATGCAGTGTGCCAAACTTGTTGAGTAATTTTCATCTTTTTCAGTTAATTGATTTGCTTCATTTGTATTTGTATTTAATCAGAGATTAGCAGTAGTGATGACAGTCCTTCACTGGAAACTGCTGGCAACTCAGGTAAACTTTTTGGTCATCACTTTAAAAATCCTACATTATTGTTAGTAAAATCATTATCTCAGGATCCAGTGTGACTTTGATGTGTGAAGGTTCCAATTTGATCACTTTTGTGTTAGAAATGTGTTAGAAGATTTAGAACTGTGTTAGAATTAAGTGTTGTAACAAATCTCTGACTATCACTTTCACAATTAAACATTAAAATGAACAGATCTTTAAGGCGTCATGAGTTAAAAATAGTTGATGATAAAGTTCCAGATCAGACTGTAGTAAGCAAAGTTAAACAATGTTAGTAATTAACGGCATCTACATGTAAGTTGTTTGTGGCGCTTGTTTGATTAAATCCCAGTTTGAATTACTAGAGGAGATGGCCATTTTGAGCAATTGAAGTATATAAATGAATCATCTTAATTCTTCCTTAGTCAGTTAGTTACAATAGTGAGCACAGAAAGTATTTTAACTATGACTGTCTGTGGTTGCTTGGAAACAGAAAAACCGAAGGACATCAACCGTCGAACAAGAAGTCAGTTCTGGAAAACAAAGCGGCTGCAACAAGAGTACATCCATCTGAATGATTCCCCTAGACAACCAAAAAGGGACTCCAGACAACAAAAGAAGCAAACATCTAAAAAACCTGGTATGTCTCATCCCTGTAGAAAACATGCAAACTGATCAGTGCAACTGATCATGATGACCAATGTTTTGTGTAATTAATGTTTTGTATTAAAGGAACACACCAGCCATTTGGGCGATTTTGGGCTCTAAATTAGGTTTTGCCATGACTGGAAGGGTTTTCTGAAGTAGAATATAAATGTCCGAGCGAGACCATTTGAAATGTTGCCGTTTCCGTGTAATTTAAAAAAAAAATTGAAAGTCACGTGAGTTTCGTGACCAAAATTTTGGTCACGAAACTCGCGTGACCGCCAGGGTGTAGTTTTACTTCCAGCCATAAATTGTTCTACACTCTAAAAAAAATTGGGCAAATTTTGCCCAACTTTTAGCCCAATGTTGGTCTAAATATCAACAGGTTAAAAAGTTGGTCATTTATTGCCCAACAAGCATTGGGCAATCGCTTTGCCGAGAAAATGGGTAATGCCTTTTGTTTAAATGTTGGGTAGTTTACATATTTGTTGGTCAATTTCAAATTTTCCAATAATTGGTCAAATTTGGTTGCCATGTTTGTTGGTTAATTTGAACTTCCCACTTTTGTTGGTTATTACAACTTTCCCCCCCCAAATGGTCAAATCCGGTGGCTATTTTTGTTGGTTAAGTTTAAACACCCCTAAAATTGGTCAAAGCTGGTTGTCATAATGTTGGTCAATTTCAACTTTCCCAGGAAATGGTCTTTAATTACTTGATTGATTGGGATTTTTTTTCCACAGAAATTGGTCACACGTAGTCACGTTTGTTGGTTGACCCAGAAATTGGTCCTTTCCTTTTGCTATGTTTATTGGTTAAATCAGGTTTTCTCCAGAAGTGTCTTTTCCCCATAATTTGGGTTGCATAAAATTAGCTTTTTTCCTTCGAAACTTGAAACACATTTTGTCAATAAAAATCCAACCAGAAGTTTAGGGCTTATTCTTGCTGGATAATAAACAGCGATGACAGTAATTGTGCTTGTCACTTGAAATACAATTTGGATAGGTCAAATTTTAAATAAATTGTTTCACGAATATATAAAGGGGAATTTTTTAAAAATAAATTTACGTAAAGTTCCATTCCGTCCCTAAATTATCAAGAGCAAATAAAAACAATGAAATACTACCATGTTAAACTACCACTTAACTGTTTGCTGCCAAACAAACCCTTTATTTAAACCATACTGATATAAAACATACACAAAACACAATGGTTCATTTGTTTTCGCAAATGCTAATGAAGCATTTTTTTGCAAAGCCTTATAAGTTTGGGAAGATTTTGTATAGACTTCTCACTTCGTCCAATGAAAACTGCCAAAACAAGCTTTACAGCTTTTTATCATCATGTTTAATATCTAGCATTGCTAACACAATAACGTTGGGCTCCATCTTGCCTTGGAAGTGTTGAACAATTCAACAACTTTCGTTTTATTCCAAGAGTATTTAAAAGCTTTAGAGTGTTAAATTTGGGCCGATGAATTATTCAGAGATTAAACTTTTAACATGTAAACTATTTTGAAGCCTCAAAGGGAAAAACAACATTTGCAAGCATTGAAAAATAAAACTACCATTTTTTTACAAAATACCTCCCTAGGATGCTGGTAAATGACAGTGTAAAGCATCCTGTAAAATTATGGCACCTGGTGTGAAGTCATTTTCAAGATAATTAAATTTTTGTTTACATTTCCAACCTTGGTCGGCCGACCTCCGTTGGAAAAACCTAACTATTTTTCAATTATCCAAATTTATCATTTTTTTCAGTCCAAATTTTGTTTTCTATTGGTTACATGTTCCTGAACAGGTGCTGACCAGCTGGACTGGTTCCCTTACCTTACAATTTTCCGGCATCTATAACTTGATCCACTTCATTTTCAGTGGAGTCAGGGAACAGACTACTTGAACATTTTTGTTTTTCTTGGTTTTTCCAGCATTTTTGAACACAAAACTTCAAACATGTCAGTGTAACAATATTTTTTCTATTATATTAACCCCTCAAATAGTTTATTTCTGAAGCCGCTTTTGCTGTAATTTTCAGAACTAAACTATTTGTAATAGATCAAATATTGTTACACTTACATGTTTGAAGTTTTATGTTCGAAAATGCTGGAAAGACCAAGAAAAACAAAAATGTTCAAGTAGTCTAGTTCCCGGACTTCACTAAAGATGAAATGGATCAGGTTATAGATGCCGGAAAATTGTAAATTAAGGGAACCAGTCTAGCTGGCCTGCACCCGTTCATGAACATATAACCAATAGCAAACAAAATTCGGACTGAAAAAAAAAGGGTAAATTTGGAGCAGAAGTTGAAAAAATAGTTAGGTTTTTCCAACGGTGGTCGGCCGACCACCGTTGGAAATGTAACGAAAATACCATTTGTTTATTGACTTCACACCAGGTGCCATGATTTTACAGGATGCTTTAGACTGTCATTTACCAACATCCTAGTAAAGTATTTTGTAAAAACTTGGTACTTTTTTTTCCCGATGTTTGCAAATGTTGTATATTCTCTTAAATACAAAATGAGGAAACAATTTCGAGATTACTTCACCTTATATTTGGTTGCTTAACATTCCACACTCCTTTTAGCGTTAATGAAAATACTAAGGTTAATGCAGGCACTTATTTTTTTTACTGGGATTTCTGGCTTGCCAGGTTAGACTACACCATGATAATCAAATGTCAAACCTGTAGCTGATTGATATGTTGTTACCAGAAAAGGGCACAAATGGTTGCTACATAAGTTTATATGTACGTAGCTGATATTAAGAACTTGCACACCACAGGGTGTGAGTGACCACTGATAAAAATAGCTGAAAACAGCTGAAAAAGGTCTAAAAAGGCTGAACTTTGAAAATCTATATTTTTGTACACAGCAAGTGCGAGAAAAAGCTGAAATCAGCTTTAAAGCTGAGATTTCACACCCCTATGACACCAAATGCAGATTACTTGGATTACAATGCTTAAATCACTTGGACACCAAATACGCACGGAAATCCCTCAAGATTGGGGGAACTATCCCTGGTAGTTCGTACACGACATTTTGGAGGAACTCCCAGACTGTCTTGACTTGTGGCTGGTAATTGATGTCAAGCACGTAATGTGCCTTAAATGCTGCATCAACAGTCTTTATCAGACTTGGGTAAGGGATGGCCCGTCTCTCAACCACCAAGAAGACTTGAGATGGACTCAAGCGCTCAGTTGTGTAGAGTGCAAGGATGAACGGTTGTGGCCTCTTTTCGGCATTGATGCTGTCCAGGTAGTTGTCCACGTTGATTATGGCCTGACAAAAATTAAAAGAAACGGTATATGTCACTCACTGGTAATTTTTTATTTTAAAGTGTACAGCAGTTAGTTTTTGCCAAGTAACCTGAAATGGCAAGTACTTTTGCTGGAGTCTGGTGTACTCTTCAATATGTTCCCAAAAAAGTGTCCATTTGACTATTTTGAAAAAATAACTACAAACCATGAGGTGAATTGTGAAAATTACGCACAATTGAACAATTTCATGGGGGGAGGGGGCGGATTCAACCCCCCCCCCCCCTTTTAGGGTTAATCAGTTTCAGTGCTGTGTTACGTAAGCTGCGTAAAATCCTTCATGTTGAGAAAAAGGTTGATGTGGTTTGGGATTGGAATTATTTGCCCTTGAGCATTTAACTGCATGCCTTGCCACGATTGACTGAGAGAGAGGCAAGTTTGACCTAGCCCTTTTCACTACACGAAGGATTTTACACAGCTTTACAACACATACTGTATAAGGCAAGGAATGCCAGTGTCCAAAAAAAAAGAAAAAAGAAAACCCAAAAGTTCATTGACCTCATGGTTTTGTAGTTATTTTAAAGAAAAGTTAGATGAACACTTTTTGGGGACATAGTGTATATAATATACTTCATGCAAAATTCAAAACAAATTGATTTGAGACCGTTAGTAAAGCGAGAAACCATCTTTCCCACTGATAAGCTGAAGATCTGCAAATGGTATTTTTATGCACCTTTGTATGATTTGCCAATAGAAATAGATCAGCTTATCAGCAAAGGAAGAAATTAAACTATGTCCTTCACTGAATTGCCCTATGCTATAATTAATTATGGTGAACAGTTTCAGCTTATTTATACAGGAAAAACCTTGGCACTCAATCCCTTTATATGTGATCTTAGAACAAAATACAACATACCGGTTTTAAGTCAATAAATGCATCAATGCTGTCAAACAGGCTGCATCGGCCTCCTCGCTTGCCTTTACTGCGGCCCCCCAGAATGACTGGTAGAAGGAACAGGGCCAGGTTTTTCTTCTCCGCTGAAAAAGAAATTAACAATACATAAGCAATAACAAAACCCTGCAAATAGAAATTTCCTCAAAACTTGCCAATATGTTTTGCAAAGCTGTAACCAATATATTCGCATGAAGCGAGCCAACATGTACAAATAAATGATTAAAATCATGTGGGGCTACAATCCAGCAGAGAATAGTTTAAACATTGTAAAGCAAGTTTGAAATTTTAGAGGAACCCCCTTTTCTCCCATTTTCGAGGGCTATGAGGTGTGGTGGTGTTTCGAAGCAGCAAATGCTGAAAGATTTGGGGTTGGGGTCCCAAAAGTCTTGAGATTTCAAGAGGAGCTTGTCTGGCAAATTTCCAGGTTTGAGTTTGAGCTGGTCAGCTTTAATGTCAGCTCCAGCAGTTTTTTTAATTTGTGTGCAATTGAAACACAACATTGTCAGTGAAACTGCTCCAAAGTGCAAATTTGTTGAGTGGAGCTGACCAACTTCTGTGCCAGTTTCTCTCATTTGAATGATCCTTCATAGGCTAACCATAGAGGAAGGAATGCAAACTGAAAACTTTATCAAAAGGTTAGCATATGACAAGTTTACCTGTAGAGAGTGTACCATCTACTTTGTCCTGCATGTGGAGAACTTGCTTCCAAGTTGGAGTCATGAAGTTGGCATATGCTATCACAGAGTCACACAAGCCTTCCCACTTGAAGAAGAGGTTATCTGCAATACCTGGATGATGCACCAAATCAAAGTCCTGTGCAATCTTTAAACAAATAAAAAATACAAACAAAACACATTTATCTACAAGGCAAAATACAGCTATTCACACTTTAAAAAAATGATGAACTGTTTGAGGACTCCAACTCAAGATCCATCCCATGTTTTGTGGGAATACAATTTTCACACAAAACTATTGATTTCTGATGTTGAAGATAATTAATTTAAGGAGGGGTGTTTAGGAACCTATTCTGGAAAGTCCACACAGTACAACACTGAAATGTTATTGTCAATAAGCTAACTTGATCCAATGCTGTCACGATATTGACTGCAACACCTCTTGCAATGAATGATACGTTCCATCCTCTTGTCGCATATTGCTGTTTGGAACCTATAATTTTCTTACCATGTCTTTGTCGAGAATACGTGGAAATTCCTCCAAGATGCCAGCCAGAGAGTGCTTCTTCTGCCCAATGAAATTCTTGCGTTGCCTTGCTGTCAGTGCCATGTATTCTTGAACTTTGCTTGCTGGCTCCATGTTGTCCTTCAGCCAAGCTACCATCCTGGCTTCTTCTTCAGGAGAACTAGTTGTCCCTTCACGAGGTGGCTCTACATATAATAGCAGTATTTAAAAAAAGTTTTGACAACATGTGTCAAATTTAGCCCTGTGCAGCCAAGTACGAAAGTAGGGTCAAGCTGAACCAAGTCAGCTTGGCAGGCCCAACCAAATCCACAAACTAGAAAGTACATGTATAACCAACAAAACAAAGTTAACACTTGACTGAAGGAAACCTTGAAAGTGTAACCTTTGGGAACGATGTTTGTTGAATAAAAAATATTTTTGTTGAAACAAAATGTACAAAATAATGCAGCACAGTGCAAATTATCATTTTAATTGCGAGCATTCAGCTCCAGACAATTAAAAAAAAAATTACCTGGAAAGATTTACAAAATTGGGAACAATTGAAGGATACAACATAAAAATCTTGGATGCAACAATATGTTGCTTAAACACATACCTTCAGCAGGAGCATCCAATTTCCCCTTGTTCCTGTCCTCCTTATCGAGCATCGTCTTTCTGATGTACCTTAGTCGTTCCTCCAAGTACCCTGTAGCTGGACGTTTGTTTGCACCTTTCATATACCATGCTTCCTACATAAAAGAAATGGAGAAGCCCTTTCATTTAGTTGTACAAAAATATACTCTTTTCAGTTTGTAATACATCTATTTCATGTTGCCATGCAAGTATCAGTCAGTCTCACAAGAAAAAAAAAGGTAATTGGCTAAAAAAAAGAGTCTCCGGTTTCTGTTATGCACGCGCGTCCCCGTAGCCATGCGCGTCAGCAGAATTATAAATTTTTTTTTTCATTGTAAGATGATGTCTCAAACCGCCAAACTCATTGGTTTGACTGGAATCCTGCTGCTGCACAATTCTGGCGTGTTTTTAGATGGGGCTACAATCTAGTATAAGCTTGATAAGCTGTATAGGCTTTATAAAAGCTATACATTTTGCACTCAATTTAGTCGGACACCATTTGCAGTCATCAGCTGAAATTTGAAGAAAAAATGTAAAAAAAAAAGCAAGCTCCATACCAGAAACCTTTTTTTGGCCTCAAGTGGGTAGGACAAATGTTGTATATCTGAACTCTTACATTTCACTCTTGTAGCATAAACTGATGGAACTTGTATTTGATGCAAAAGTTTTGATTCTTTAAAAGTTACCGTACTTTGAAATTCTCATTTTTTAACTATTGTTTGTTTTCTACTTTTTGTCTTATTCAAGACAGGCTATATAAGGATTAACTTATATCTCTAAAGTATACAACTGATTTTTCAAAGGTTTTTTTCAGATGTAAGTTTAAAGTGATAAACATTTTTCAGTAGGAAGATAAACCAGTCAATTTTTCTTTGTATAAAAATGTGTTTTAGAGTTAAACGATTGAAACAACACAGCAAAGAAAGAAAACAAGCACAATTCCTGTTTAATTTGCAAACATACTTACATAGCCTTTGCCCTCTGGATCTTTGAGGTATGGAAACTCCTCAATGATACTCTCAGCAAGACACTGCTTCTCGTATGAACTTGGCCTTTATAACACACACACAAAAGAGTTACACTGTTGAATTCAGCGGAGTTAGTTTTCAATTCGGTGGAGCAGTGATGGGTGCACACAAGTATTGACATAATGTGCACATACACGCAGTTGCTCTAATTTGTCGGGTCAGTGTGTGACATTGCGTAGCTGCAATCAATAGAATGAGAACATGTCCCGGACGCTCATGGCGTCTGCCTGCAATTCAAAACATGAAACGGCAACTTTGCTTCACATACACACAGTTTTTGTGCTAGTGAGATTATGTCTTTCTAAAATTCTCATTATTTCTTATATTACAAGAACGCTCAATTTTTCAATTTTTTTTTTTTTTGGGGGGTGCTTGTACATGTACTTACTTCAAACCATGGTTTTCAATGAGGAATCCAACCAACAATGATGTCATTGTGCATCTGGCCTTCTTTGTGAGCACTTTATCAGCTTGAAGTTGTGCAACAATAGCTGTGCCAACCTTGGTTGTCTGAAGAATAGTCCGTGCATTCTGCAATTTGAAGAAAGTAAAGTAGTATACATGAGGATGGGGATAATCAAGACAGGTGCAAACATCTATCCACACAAAAAAAGTAACATGACAGTGGGTGCACTGGATGTGAAAAAGTGCTACTGTATTTTTTTCTTTTACCTTACAAAGTAAACAAAATGTCATATACTTACAAACAGTGACATCTTTCGTTTCTTTCGTTCACTTGAGGATGAGGATGCCCCAGACACTGAAGCTGATGCATTGCTTTGTTGGGAGGAAATATCGGACAACTCATGCTCATCCGTCAGGTCATCAGAGGAGTCATCATCACTGTACTGTAGTGGAGGCTTCTGCGCTCTTATTGCAGCATGCTGTTGCTTTGGAAACTGGAAATTTCATACAAATATGACATAAAAAATAATTCAAAAAAATAAGTAACCCTGCAAATAAGCTGAAGGGAAATGTACCAGTAAAGGGCAGAACAACAGATTGAGCAAATATTTCTATAACTCACCTAAAATGTGTTATATAAGGTTGAATCGGATCACAATGTACAGCGAGTCATCTTTTTCATCATGGCTCCGTGTAACATGATGTGGGCGGTAGTCAAAAAGATCCTGTGGTCGTTTCACCATGATGCCTCCATCCATCCGTTGAACCCCAAAAGCATGAAAGTGTCTGTTGAAAGCCTTTACAAGCCATGGCCTTAGAGTGACAAACAGGCCTCTCTCGTTTACAAGGATATGCTGCACTTCAGCAAACTGGGGTCCATCTTCTGTCCATGCTGTGAGGACCATGCTGTTCGGTTTTAGCTGGTAACCATACACTTCTGCCATACTTGCAACTGTGATAACTGTATCCTGTGTAACCTTCAGAGAAGCACAGATGACACTCGCCTCTTCCAACGATTTCACAGATACAAGAACCTGATGCTGTATATCAACATTACATTTGAAGGTGTGGTTGGGATCAGAGAGCATGCAACTTTGTTGCTGCTGGTGCCTAGTAGCTACCGACTTCGCAATGTTTCGGTAGTTGTTACATGCAGCAGCCCACTTCTTAAATGGCTTGTGTTTGGCCTCATATCTCATACTCGAGTATTGCTGTAATGGGCCAAGTAGCCGAATTGCTCTGGGATAGTGCAACAGATGATGCTGCTTGGGTGTCAAATGACGATCTGAATAAACTTGAAGAAAAAGACTGTGGTGGTCACGTATCATATGTTTCAGAGAGTATGTTGCTCCTATGCTGATTGAGTCAGACATAACTGTTTTGTAAATGTCCAGTAGCAACAGATAAACCTCCCATACGTCTGATCCCTCTGGCACAAGATCACCAATTATAAGTGGGAGATAAATCGCAAGGCACATGGTCTGAGCCGCTTTCTGTCCACTTGACCCCCCCGGATTGTTAAAGGCTGATGGCCCAATTGCACTTGGTTTGTTTTTTTGGTCCACTTTCCCATAGCTAAATGCACTAATCCTACCATTAAGCTCTTCAAGTGTGAATAAATTTTCTTCAACCAAAGATTTGAGAGTTAGTTTAATCTCCAAAGGTAGAACACCCTCTAGCATGTCATGCATAACATCAGGAGCAACATTTTGTGTTACATGGTAGCCTAACAAGTTATTCATGGCAGAGCGTCGCTTAATACCCGTTTTACTGACATCTTCCAGTGCTGCATCCTCTTCATAACTGTGCTCAGTCCTAAGAAGATCTGGATCTTCCACAAGCTGATATCTCGCAGTCTCCCTGTGTACTCTGCAAAACCTGCATGGATGGTTAGCTACAAAGCTCAGAACATATCCCAAGGTTTCATGTTGGCCTAAGTTGTCTCCAATAACCTGGAACAGATATGGCTTCACTCTAACTGACAGTTCATCATTTGAAACTTCAATGCCTTCTTTTTGAAGTCTGTTAAGATCTTTCACTACCGTGGATAACACACAGTCAATACCATACTCCGACAAAACAGTGCACTTGGCACACGCGACCAACATAATATTGCTCAGATTTGCTTGGCATATTGGGGGTAAGCTGAGGATGCTGGAATAAAAACAGGTAAGCTTATGTATTCCTTTATGCGATCCTAGAGGGTTGGCTGTCTCAAAAGCATCATTATAAAGGAGAATTGGCAACATTATGCTGCCTGTTTCTTCCCCTTTTAGTTTTTCAGCGACAAATTCTCCATCACGGAATGACTTCAGAACATTTGGATCTTCTGATTTTTCTTCATTTAAAATTGCTTTGAGAACTCCAGGCTGCTGCAAAAAAGTTCTCAAGTTGGAATCTATCGGTACATACTGATAGGTGTCTCGATTCTCAACTTGCATAATTTCTCCTGTGGTAGAGTTTGTTCGAGATTTAAATGTCCTGCCAATAAGCTTTTCCACTGGAGTTATCAGATGACCTTCCTTTTGCAAGTAAGAATTACGCTGATATTGTGTCCGAAGGCCATTGAAAGATGACTTAATAGCTTCAAATGTTTGCTTCATGTTCTCAAAACAAGCATTGCGATCATCAACTGTTATGCTGTTGACTAATGTAGTTGCATCTCTTTCAAAATTGTTTAGAATAGTGTGGACTAATTCTTCAACTTCAGAAATTACATTTTGAGTGAATGAAGATGGGACAGCAGATGACATCATTGTCTTAATAAACAATTCGATATGTTTTCTTGGATCGTCTTGGATCAGTCCCTCATCTAAAGACAAATCGCCATTTTCTGAATCTTCATGCTCACTACTTGTGCCAAATTCTTCATCCTCACTACTTGTGCCAAATTCTCCATCCTCAAAGTCTGCTGCTTCATCATTCGATTGTAATTCAATATTTTCAGAGCAGTGTTGAGAAATCAGATGTCTTTTAAATGAGGAGCAGTAAGAAAATGTCTCTAAACAGCCACTTTGATGGCAAATTATCCTTGTTGCAGATCCCGATGTGATGTGGTGGACATATTTAAGATGATGAAATAACTGTTGCATTTCTCCCCCAACAGAAGTTAGACATCTAAAACAAGTAAATTCCATTTTTACCAGTTTGTTTCATTCAATCAAGTTGTTAACTCACATCTCTCCTCCAACCCTGAAGAAATTTGAGCCTCAAGCCAATCTTGGGTATCAGCTCAACAAGTGAAGTTTCATCTAGCAGCTTCAAAGCAGCGGTGTCGATTTCATGTTCTACATTTGAAGACAAACAAGATAAACTTCCTTAAGAAAAAGCACTTCATTTTTTTAAAAATTATCACTTTAGATTTTTTTTAACAATCTAGTTTGTCAACTTTTAATAGTTTGGGGAGATAATGTTGACAATACACCCTCAACCCATTTTTTAACCTAAACTACTACTACTAATACTACCACTAGACAACGGTCCAGCTATGGTATATTCCTTGTTGATGAAAATATTTTTTTCTCAGGGACTTCATGTTAAACACACACGGTAAAAATTGCATTCAAACTCTGATGCGTATTGACATAATCACATACATGTAGCATGCAGCAGTGTTCAGTGGCAAAGAGGTGAATCTGTCCCCATCCCACCCCCCCCCCCCCCAAAGTTAATTTCTATGTGAAGCTACTGCATTGTTCAGTAATATTATAGCCGTGACGTAGTTGTAAGCTCACATGGCAAGAACAAAATAATAATACTCCTTGATTGAATTGTAGGGCTATAGGAATCATCAGAAGATCTAATCACAGGGGCAATAATACATGTAGGGTGTACAAGTATATGTACAACATGGAATATATCTGCCGTAAAATAGAAGAGGCCCTTTTTATTTAATAATTCTGGGTAGATAACCACAAAACCTTCTTAAGTGATTTAGCATTAGTAGGCCCCAACTAAATTCATAAAAAAAAATTACAATATTGATGCAGCCTCAAAAAGGGATATTTTTTGGGTTGAAAATCCGTGAAATTCAACCACTATTGAACAGACATCATACAGGACTCATTCAAAAGTGCTTATGACTTTTATCTAGGCTACCAACGCATTGTAGGCATATGGTAGTAATATGGACATACATCCCGTAGTCACGTACACATACAAACAGTAACACGTAGACGTACGTGAAGCAGGGGCCGGGACACGACCGCGCGCGATCTACATGCGGAGTTTGTATCTGTCAAACACAAACACAAACACGCGGTCGTGTCCCGGCCGCGCCCCTGCTTCAGGTACATGCAGCCTACGTTAATTGTTTGTATGTGGTACGTGTGTACGTCCATACTACCATATACAATGCGTTGGTAGATTAAAAGCCATAAACGTTTTTGAATGATCGCTGTATGATATCTGTTCAATAGTGGTTGAATTTCACGGATTTTCGACCCAAAAAAAACCATGAAAAATTAGCTCAAGCCCTACATGACAACCCAATGATAAAATTCAGGGCTGGGTAACTCCAGCTAGCCTAGGCATATCAAGTATCATTGAAGCCCCATTTAGCTACTTCGTCTTTTATAATTATATGTAGAATTGAGGCGATTTCAAAGGTATTTTTGTGTTAACTTTGCATTGTCACTTTGACAATGTCACTTTGTCACTTTGACAATGCAAAGTGGGACGCTTGTTGTATTGTACGACAGACCAAACATCCCATGGCCCCCTTTGCCCCCCCCCCTGGATCCGCCCTTGGTGGGACTAGCCTAGGCCCTACTTCATACTCGATCTGGGGTACTACAGTCCGAAAGACAAATGCGAGAAAGGAGTTCTAACGACCCTCTGGGTCTAGCCTAGGCCTAGGCCTACTGCTAGGCCCAGGCCAAGGTCTAGGCTATAGGCCTAGCCTGCAATGCAGATAGGCCTAGGGCTAGGCCCTAAATGCTGGATGTCAATACTCAGCCTACCTTTGAAATTTGCACTTAATTCGGGAACACCCCAACGTTGTAGGTATTCGTCCACACTGTCATCATGGTCTGCAACGACTTCCGGTAAATCTTCGTCGATGTCTCCAGCTCCAGGCCCCCTTGACATTTTGGAAACGGTGCCGGACGGGAAGAGTATTATACTTATAGGAATAAAACTGGCAAACTGCGGCGGGCGGGCAGGACAGGCAATGGGCGATCCGGCCGACCGTGTGTGTACGTACGTACGTGTACGTACGTATAGGGCCTACGTGACGCCTCGACGAAGATCAATGCCGATTTTGCGCGCGCGCGGTAAACGGAGTTGGCACGTACCCAACATTTTGGTGCAATACATT